AAGAGCTGAGGAAGAGGAAGAGGCAGGTTAATTTCCATCGCCCAGTGTACCTTGCATTTTCTAAAACGTATACAGGTTACAGGGTCAGCCTTGGAAGGACGTGGTGTGTTTGTGTTTCTACAGTGGTTTCAGACTCATCGATTTGGGTGATTTAGTCAGTGGGTTATGTAGGACGGCAAGAAGGCTGAGTGGAACCATTGATAGCCTCTGTTTTACAAGATGGCGGAGATGATGGGTGTGTTCCTTAATACTTTGTTAAAACAAAGATGACTAAGAACAATTCTAGTTCAGGAGGCTGCTGCCTAGGACTACTGTTTATTCTGAAATTTTGGATGTGGTGTAGTGCTGTGCCATGTTACAGTGGCTTCTTTTCTTTTTCTGCCATACTAGGTATTGCTAGGGGGTCCTTTTTCCAAAGGAAGAAATCATGTTCTGTGTTTGTATGTGTGTAGATAGTGTGGTGAGGTGGAAAGAGATAGGCTTCAGAGTCTGCCAGAAGGGCCCCCATCAAGCTCCGGAGCCTCAGTTTGCTCATCTATAAACGGGAGTAATTCCGTCATAGGGAAGATTACCTGAGATGGTGTTACATCAAAACCCGGCACAGTGGCCGGCCTTCTCCTTTATCTTTTTGTCTCCCTGCTTCTTAAATGTTTCCCTAGTAAGGCCTGACTAAGTACTTCCTGGGGTTTGCCTGGGAAAAGAACACAGGGAAGCCCATCATAGGATGTTTTACTGACCTCTGACTTGACACAGAAGAGTCTAAGGGAGGTCATTGACCTTGGTCCAAGGGGGAAAATGTGCAGTGTTCAAGCTCGCCATTAAGAGTTTTAGCAAAAACCAATGCTAAGCAAGTAATATCATGCAAACGAATATATAGGGCCAGCTCCTGTTGAAACACAAACTAAGATAAGCTACCAATTAATTGTCCTGGGATTTGTGCGCTACAGTGACAAGTGTATTGATATTTAAGAGTGAGCTCTCTTGGTGATGGAGGTTGTCTTAGTTCTTCATAGTCAAGGTTCTTAGGGAAGTCTGTGTTCTGATTGCTGTCGCTGATTTTCCTACCAGCATCACTGTATTTACTTTGTGAAATAAAAATGCAGATAACCAGAAGAGGCATTGTTTGAATGCTGTGTAACTGGGTGGCCTGGCTAGTATAATAATTGTCTTCAGAAAATACACATCTGGTGAGTGACGGCCAAGGTTCGCTGCCAGTATTGGTTATAAGGAAGCTAAATGTCTGAGTTTTTTCCGACGCTGCTTAGTACCTTTGGAGTAGTCTGTAGCTTCTTTACCGCTTCCGATGTGCTGGCAGGGAGGTATCCTGGGTGGTAGGCAGCAGAGAGTAGGCACTGCCAGACTGAGGGGGCCAGAGACTTGCATTCGGAGATAAAATGTTTTGCTTTGTTAAAAGCAGATACTCTGAATAAGTGAGTTTGTAGACATTGGAAGAAAACATTCCATATTCCAATTCATTCTTTCCTTTGGAAATTTTCTTTTGAAAAATGTTGAGATAGAAAGCTTACTGTTGATATCGTCTCCTGTATTTTGGGCTTATAGTCAATTTGAATAGAATCAGATTAATCTTAGTTAAAAATTATATTAGCATGGACAATAATGCTTATTTTGCTTGCATGTAAAAATTAGGCAGTTTTACTAAATGTGCTCTGTCTTACATTCATATTTTTTTATACAGCTGTGCAATCATATTGCTTCTGGGAAAAAATGTCAATATGTTGGAAACTGTTCTTTTGCTCACAGTCCTGAGGAACGAAAAGTGTGGACGTACATGAAGGAGAACGGGAGTAAGTTAATGTTTTACCTTTGGCCTTGACATCCATGAAATCTAGCTCGCCTGCAAGTTTCTTTCCTCTCTGAAAATATGCCAGCTGACTGTGAACACAGGAAGCAGTTTGCATCCTAAACAGTTGTTCCTTTTGCTCAGTGGAAAAGACTGTGGCATCTAGTGTGTGTTGGCTTAGCTCAGACCTGGATTCACACCTGTAGGTCTGCATCCTGTGATGTCGGAGGTGTGGGTCTGAAGTCGTGGGCTGGGGAACCTTAGTCCTCCTGTGGCCGCCTACATCAGATCACCTGCTCCTGTTGTGAATAGTCACCCTGGGAATTCATCAGATTAGAATTGGTGCTTTCTTCAAGGAGGCCCTACTGGTAGAACAGGCCCAGATTCAAAGGCCCAAGGAGAGAAGGTTTTTCTTGGTCACACAAACTGCTAGTTTATTGTGGGAGTCTTTGAAAGGAGCCTCAGATGACCTTTCGCTTTTGACCAGAAAATATTTTACTTTAAGGATCATTGTTCCTTAATCTTAACTGATGGAAAGTTATCTGCAATCTCTGAATGATAAGAACCAGTCAGATTTGAGTATGTCACCTGCCATGTTTCAACCATGTCAAAATTCAGTGATTTGTGTGGATAAGACCCTTCCTCACTGTCTTGCCTGGAGTAGGGACATACAGCAACTGGGGATGAATTTGGCCACACATACCCCTGTCCCCCTGGGGACATTTGGCAGTGTCTAGAGACATTTTATTGTCACGACTTTTGAGAATGTGCTACTGACATCTAGCGGGTTGAGTCCAGGGATGTTAAACACCCTATGATGCACAGGACAGTCCCCAACAGCAAAGAATTACCTGGCCCAGAATGTCAGTAGTGCTGAGATTGAGAAACCTGGTCTTAGCACTTGATGGGATAATGCGGAGTACACCTGTTCTTACCATAGGAAGCAGCTTGCAGCCACTGCCCAGGACCTGGTCATGGTTGTGTTGTTGTAAATTGTACCCCAGCCTGTCAGTCCCCGTGGGACTGTGGCTTGACTGACGGACTCCCATCAGGGTCAGAATCTCGGTGCCATCAGTAGTATGTTCTCCTCTTTCTCAGTAAACAGTGAGGAGCGTATCAGCTCCAGGCTCCCCCCAGCCAAGTAAGTAGCTTGTGTGTTTATGGCAGTGATAACGAGCGTTCACTGTGGACACCATGAAGCCGTGCTGAAGCCTTTTTTTTTTTTAGCAGCATCCTCACAATGGTTTCTGAATTTTAAACACCCCCAAAGTGTCTTACAAATGTAGAGAGGAGATAATTAGACTTGAAACCTAATGTTTGTTGTGGTCTAACAGTCCTGGACTTGATTCTTGCCCGTGAGAGTTCACCTGCTGCTTGGACAGCAGACCGTCTTCCGTGTCTAATATAATGTCTCCATTCAGCCCTCTCACTTTTGGTTTTGAAAACGTAGGCTGATTGATACAAAAAGTGTGCATGATCTTGCGTGGATTTAAATGGTGTATACTTAAATCTCTGCTGCTGAAAGTGATTCATTTTTCTTTAGTACAAGATATGGAGCAGTTTTATGAACTCTGGCTAAAGAGTCAAGTAAATGAAAAAAGTGAGGATGTAGCCAGTCAGTCCTGCAAGGAAAATGGAAAACAGATTCACATGCCGACAGATTACGCAGAAGTTAGCGTAAGTACCGTTTGCTGGTTGTTTTTCCTCTCCTTTGCCGCTGAGCCATAGATGAAGCCTTTCGTTGTTCTCCCCACCTTCTCCGGAACCTGGCTCCATCACTCGCCATTCCCTGCTGTCTTCCGGTATCTTCGTCTTCTCTCTTCAGGGGCTCCCTACTTTTAGCCCAAGTCTCTTCATTTTAAAATCCTTCCCTGGATCCTTTTTCTGATTTTAGAGCCAGAGAAATTCAAGTCTTAAGTCCTTGTTCCTTTCTTAGTAGCCTGTGATCCTGAGCAGGTTATTAATGCTCTGCGAGTGGGGTTGTTATGATGGAGAAGTGAAGTGTGAGCCTGTCCGCACAGAAAGCGCTCTGGAAAGGTGGGCTCCCCTCCCCCTTTTAAAATCTTCAGAAAAGTGAGGAGGATAATGACTATTTTGAGCCCACCATCCCAAATGAACTGATGTTAACAGTTTGTTTTGTTTGCTTCTTTAAAAATAAATAGAAAGTTACAGATGAAACTGGAACCCCATTTGTCCCCCTTCCCAGAGGGACCGGGTCCAGTGTGTATCTTTCCAGGCCATGTTTACATATCTTGGACATTTATTCCTAATCTGTTGTTCTGCCTGGCATGGTTTTTAAATTGACGTAGGTATGTAGGTGTTCTTCTACTTATTTCTTGTTCTGTTTTGCGGCACCTCTCCATACTGATTCAGTTGAATCTAGGTCACGTCTGTGGCCTGGCCTTGCCCCGTGTCTCTGCTTGCGATGTGCCCTCTGAACTCCGCCCCCTCTGCCAAGGCTCAGCTCTGATTTCCTTGCCACCTTTTCTTAGGTCCTCCTTGGGTTCCCAGAACAGGATCACCCACACTTGCTGGGTCATGAGAGCTACCTGGGGTGTTTAAGCAGATAGAGTCTCGTCTGTGTCCCAGACACACTGAGTCAGAATCTCATGAGTGTATTCAGAAGTCTCCAGAGTGTATTCTTATCCAGTGCTGCGATGACTCTTACACGGGGCGTTTGGGAAATACTACTCAGACACTTACAGCTTGCGTCTGTGGTAGCTCTTCTACCCCACCATAACAGAGGGCCTTCTCTGGGTCTGTGCCCCAGGGGCAGCGTACCCTCATGGGCACTTCCCTGGCGCCTGGCACAAGTCCTGGCCCGTAGTAGGGGCTTCATTCATGTGCCGCTCATTCGTCCCTCTCCAGTTGGTGAGCCCCGGGCTTTCACGTCCTCTGCTTTTCTCCTCATGGTGTTACTGCTTCCCAGAATCCTTGTCTGAGCCGGGCCCCCGGTCCTCCCAGCAGACATCCTTGTTTGCACACCAGCTCCTGCCGCCTTCTTGCGGAGACTTCCTGGACACCTGGCCGAATCCACTGCCCCTGTGCTCTGCTTCCTCGGTTCTGGCATGCCTCCCGGGGTTGGCATCCTCTCCTTGGCTCTCTTTCAGACTTTGAGTTTTCTGCTCTTGTCCAGCTCCCCCACTGGATGTGCTCCCTGAGAACAGAGTGGGTCTTAGGTTGGGTGGTTTCTCATCTGCGTGGTCCCCTGAACGTATTTGAGGGACACACAGACAACACCTACTGATGGGACGCATGTCTGCCGTGCCCCTTAGGTGGACTTCCACTGCTGGATGTGTGGGAAGAACTGTAACAGCGAGAAGCAGTGGCAAGGCCACATTTCCTCAGAGAAGCACAAAGAGAAGGTTTTCCACACTGAAGACGACCAGTACTGCTGGCAGCACCGCTTCCCAACAGGGTATTTTAGTATTTGTGATAGGTACGTAAGTTGCTTCAATTTCCCACGTGAAGGCTGCTGGTTTCATGTAACTTTGATGGTCATTATGTCAGTAGACAGAATATCTGTAATTTGTTATTTACTTTATTTTTTTTTAGCTGAGCCATCCTGCCACCTGTTGGCAGCTCAGCTCGGGCCGGGAATGAAACCTGTGACCCTGTTGCTCAGAGCTCACACTCTTGAGCGAGGTCTTAACCAACTGAGCCACTCAGCCGGCCCAGAGACTATCTAGGTGATAAATCTTCTAATATTGGAAGCTCAGATTTGGGCTCAAAGCTTTAGTTGCTCTTTGAACATTTCTCCTGTGTTTACATGAAAAGATTTACTAGACTGCCGATACCGGTTTGAAATGTCTTAAGGTAACAGAATACAAAAGTAGGTTCATTCGAGTTTGCCGAGACCATCTTTGAGTTCCTGGCTGTGATTATCTTACACGTCACCACAGCCTTTCTTGTAGATGTTCATCAGTTTTGAAACTGCCTTTGGATATTTCAAGTGTAAATCTAGAACTTTACTCAGGTCAAAGGAAAATGTTAGTATCACTCCTTTAAGTTTAGTTAGAAAACTTTTCAGTGGAAACCTAGATAATTTTGAATTGCTCCTCATTTTGTTAAATCACTGTTTATATTTAATTTCCAAATTGAGATCTATGTGATATTTAAAAAACTATGGAAGGCTAAAACTGTTTCCTTAATGTCACTTCTGATTTCACTACATCAGGAAGGACTGTAGTCTTTTTGCCCATCAAACAGCATTTTTCTTGTTCTTTTTATTTTTAATGAGAAGTTCATTTTTTTATTAGATTATAAAATCAGGAAAAGGGAATTTTAATCAATTTACCTAAAATACTTTTTGTTTGAGAAAATATTTGAATTGTAGCAATAAAATATTTTTCACTAAATACATATAAACAGCTTAAAGTACCAATTCATCATGGATGTCAAGGCTGTCAAATATCCAATTTTCTAGGTTGAAGATTTTATTGTTTTTTTATTTTTTATTTTTTTAGCTGAGCCATCCTGCCACCTGTTGGCAGCTCAGCGGCAGCTCAGCTTGGGCCGGGAATCGAACCGCTGTTGCTCAGAGCTCAAAATCTTGAGTGAGCTCTTAACCAACTGAGCCACTCAGCTGGCCCTGAAGATTTTAAACTAAGAGTTTTATGTAAATCATAAAGCTAGTGAAGTGTACATTTTTAAGATTTTTATAAACAGCTTGTGATTTTTATAAACAACCAGGCTAACTTGTCCTGACAGGTATATGAACGGTACCTGCACAGAAGGGAGCAGCTGTAAATTTGCACATGGAAACGCTGAACTTCATGAATGGGAAGAAAGAAGAGACGCCCTAAAGATGAAGCTCAACAAAGCAAGAAAAGATCACTTAATTGCCCCAAATGATAATGACTTTGGAAAATATAGTTTTTTGTTTAAAGATTTAAACTAATATGCTGGCTTTTATGTATGTTACCTAATCAGAGCATTGACCAGAAAAATTGAAAGTGTTCTAAGGTACGTAGCAGAGGAACTGCAGGTTTTCTGCTTGTATTGGCGTCTATCCTCCCTCCTAAGCAGCAACCCACAGTAGGTAGGAAAACGGGCTGTTTAACGGGTCTGGCCATGCTCTCATGGCACCATTGGCATCAAATGGCAGAGGGACCGCTACCCGGTTGCCATCTGTTGAACAGACTTTTGGATGAAGTGTGTCGGGGAAGAGGATAAGGTTATGTCTGGGACGACTCCTTGACTTGGTCCTTCAGATAAGAACCATGATGGTGGATTAAACACTCGTATTAGGATCAGAACACATGATGGATGAAATTCTTTACACATATTTAAGCAGAATGAATTTGTTTAATAAAGTTTGCTACTTATCTGTATGTAGGTTGCTAAAAAGGATTTTCTTAACTCAGATTTTAAGCCAAATAACCATTTAACACTAATATACGTTAAATGGGGTATTTTTCTGTATTTGTATGTTTCACTGTAATAAGGGAACCGAGGATAATGTGCATTGACAATATTTTGAAAAATAATCAGCTGACTCAAATTTTATTTCTTGGTCTTTTGCTGTTTAAATGATGATTTTGAAAGATTAAACTTGTATTGTTGGTATCGTGTAGTGTATGGACCAATATTGCCTGTAATAAAGATTTTATATGTAGATTTCTTTCACTTTTTGGTGTGGTCCTTTCCCCCGAAAGAATTGTGGAAACTGGGTACTAAAATCACAAGGTTCGATTTTCTTTAAATAACACTTTTAAGTAATTAGTGACAGAATGCAAATTAAAGGGACAAGAAAGCAACCTTTACTCTGTGCCACTCTTCTGAATTTAGGTTGATAAGAGTCGTCTCTTGTGGACTGACATGGTAATTCTTCTAGGTGCTCTTCTGTGTTTCATTCAGATGAATTGTCAGCAAGGAGTCCACATGGGCAGCTAAGACGTGGGCTGTGGGATTCCGCAGAGACAAGTGTCTTGCACAGTCCTCTCCATAGAGGTGTTTGTTGAAAGACCACTGAGGGCAGGGGCTGGCAGAGACAAAGAAAGGGCTAAGCTGTCCTCTCAGACTACCTGTTTCAGAGACTGGGACCCAGTGAGCTAGGGAGAAGAGTTATCGTCGTGATGTGTGTGTGTGTGTGTGGGGGGGCAGCCACTCATGAGGATATTGCCAGTGCAGAGTCCTTGGGGGCGGAGGCAGGGAGAATTGCTGACAGACTTTGAAGACAGGGCTCTGCCAGGCTGCGATGCACTAACCCTGCAAACCCTCAGGCAAAGCCACTTCGTCATGGTGACCTTGAACGAGTGGGCTTTAGGGGAAACAGAAAAGGGTTTTTGTTCCGTGTGAGTCCAGCCAGGGTAGAGAGGAGGGCATAGCTATAAGCAGTGAGATGAGAGAGAAGTGGAGCGTTTAGCAGAACCAGGGGCTGCAGAGTGGCAAGCCCTCATGACTCCTTGAAGATAGTAGGACTCTGGTTTCCCTCCACGTGTGGGAAGGCAGTGGGGCCAGTATTATTCAGCAGGAGCATTAGGAGTGCATTTTATTTGCCAAATAATCTGTTGGGGGTGACACTTTGTGTAGAATAGACTGGCAATGTTACTATCCTGCTAGGTCTTCCTAGTCTGATAGCCGTTGTTACATTTTTTTCTTCTCCCAGTCTCCTTTTGTCTGCTTTTTCCAGGGAGAAGAGATGGTTAAAAAGTCTGGTGCTCTCTTTCAGTTTACAGGTTAAAAAGGTGGTTGTCTTAACCTTTGGAATCTAGGCTCGAAACTTAAGAGTTGGAGAGCCTGTGAGCGGTCAAGATGAGAATTTTGTTTTTCACACTCCGTTGCATTTTCTGCACCACAGCTTTCAACCTTCTTGCAATTGATTCTCTGTGCTCTCAACCATCCTTTCAGTAAATTCCACTTCTGCCTAAATCAGCCAGTGTCTTGCTCTGGTTCGCAGCTAAGAACCCTGCCTGCCACAGCCTTGACGTTAGGAAGTCAGTGTTAATTATTCCACAGGGAACTTGCACCCCTATCCGAGAAGTGAATGGGTAACTTTGGAGGAGGAGAAAGAGCAAAACTCCAACAGTAATAGCAGGGGAAACAGTCATCAATGGTGTGTCTGCTTGATCATGTGTATCTATCTCCACAGGATGGATTTTTTTTTTCAACATTTAAGAAACTGAGATACAGTTCATGTAACAAAAACTTCACCATTTTAAAGCAGAACTCAGTGATTTTTAGTGTAGTCCAAATATTGTGTTACAATTACCACAGTGAGTTTTAGAATATTTTCATTCTCTTAAAAAAAAAAAATCACATCCCAGTCTACCCACTTCCCCTGCCCCTCCAGCCTTGGCAGCCACTGATCTGCTTTCTGTCTATGGATTTGCCTGTTCTGGACAGTTCATGTAAGTGGAATCATATACCATGTGGCCTTTTGTGACCGACTTCTTTCACGGAGCATGTTTTCAAGGTTCATCCATGTTGTAGCAGGTATGAGTACTTCATTCCTTTTAATTGATGAATAATACTCCATTTCACGGATATACCACATTTTTGTTTATCCATTCCTCTGCTGATGGACATTTGGGTTGCTCCTTTTTGGCTCTTGGAAATAGGAACATTCATGTGCAAATTTTGCTGGCTGTAACGAGCCGCCCCTATCATCCCCAGAGAGGCATGCGGAAGGTTGCAGTTGGGTCCTTACTCTCAGGGACTCC